GGAAAAATGGCCGCGGACCACGTGTCGGGGGCGGAAAAATGGCCGCGGACCACGTGTCGGGCAGAAAAATGGCCGCGGACCACATGTCGGGCAGAAAAATGGCCGCAGACCACGTGTCGGGCGGAAAATGGCCGCGGACCACGTGTCGGGCAGAAAAATGGCCGCTGACCACGTGTCGGGCGGAAAATGGCCGCGGACCACGTGTCGGGCAGAAAAATGGCCGCGGACCACATGTCGGGCAGAAAAATGGCCGCTGACCACGTGTCGGGCGGAAAATGGCCGCGGACCGTGTCACGGGAGGGAAAAAGGCCCCGGTATCCTGTTCGTACCCCGAGGCGGAGTTCGCAAACCAAAGCAAAATTTTGCGGCCGGAGCTTGTAACCCGAAAAGTTCGTTAACAGAAGCGTTCGTAACCCGAGGTTCCACTGTACCAGTATTTTGTTGGAAACATGTTTCTGTTTTCCAGCACTAAAGACAAGTGAGCTAGTCTTGGTTTGCATGTTGTCTTACAGTGCAGTGGCTCTTACAATGTTTGGTTTACTCTACAGTTTTGTCATTTTAATTAAGTTAGGAAATAGTAAAATTGTAGTACGTAGAAATGTCACTGTAATTTTGAAGAATGTTCCCTTAGTGTCCTTATTTAAATAGTCAGTACAAGCGCAAAATACAGCATGGGAGCTGGATAAGTGGCATGTCTCTGAAATGCATCATTGCAAGAAATAATTAACAGACACCCTATTTGGTTGATACTTTCCATTGACGCAGTTGCACTATCTAGTGGAGGTCTTTCCAGGCATTTGTATTACTGTTCCCTATAAAGTTAGTGCTGCCAGGCTGCGCCTATGGAGCTGTTATCACAGCAGAATTCCAAAGGACATCCACACTTGTACTTGAAATAAATTGTGCATGCACTAAAACCAAGTGAAAAGGAGAAGAATAGCTATGCTAGACATGGTGGAAGAGTAGGTGTAGACTTTAGCATCCCTTTTGGATCCTTTGCTAGTATTTCTTTGAGACTGAATAAAGTTCGTAACCTCAGATTTAGGCTTCAACTTAGGAGCCTCACATCACTTTTTAATGGGAAAATGTTATTTTGTTCTTTAAGAATGTGGGTTGTTGTTTGTTTTTGTTTTGTTTTTGCAGTAAGTTAAATGGTTCTTTCACCACTGCTTTATCTGCCTTTTGAGGAGAACCTGATATTGTGTTGGGCTACCAGAACTGGGCAACAAAAATTTGGACAACCATTTGATGCTACCAAGAATGCCAGAAAACATTTTCCTGTCATCGAGTGAGTATTTGGATTTTTATAGCCCAGATCTGGTAGCCCAAATATTGTACCTAATTTGGGTAAAAGTCACATTAAAAAACACAGATTAATAAAGTAGTACATGGAAAGGAGTATTGCCTTAAGACAGGGTTATAGCAATACATGGTAGCTGTCACTGCTTGATGTGGCCCACATTATTCTTGAGAATTCCTGTCTTGCCTGCCTCTTCTGTTAGGAGATGTGATTAACCACAGGTGTATCACTCAGGGATACACATTAAGAATCAGAAGATGGTGGCTAGTGTCTCCTTTTGATCTGTCAAGATCAGAATTATGCAAGTCATAGTATTCCTTCTATGGAAGTGAAAGTTGGACTTTGAAGAAGCAGGATAGGAAGAATATTGATGATTTTGAGCTTTGGTGTTGGAGAGAACTCCTGAGGATATCATGGCCAGCCAAGAAAACAAACCAATGGATCATCAAACAAATCAACCCAGAGTTCTCACTTGAGGCACAATTATCCTACTTCTGACATATGCAAAGAGCTCTCTAGAGAAGGCTCTAATTCTGGGAAAGGTGGAAGGAAGGAGAAGAGTACAACCAGCAACAAGGTGGATAGACTATGTTACAGTAACAATAAGTGTATTGTTGAAAGGGCTGAAGGACCAGGTTAGGGACAAACTATATGGAGAAAATCTATGTGGCCGCTAAGAGTCAACAGCAACTTGATGGCACATAATCAATTTAATCAGGAGGCATCAAAACTAAACTCCACTTGCCTAGATTTATAAAGAAATGTTTAGAAATTTGCTCAGATGTTGGCTCTACTCTAAAAAACTAAAATCCATTGGTTCGGTTGGAAGAGATTACATGTTATTCCTGCAACTGCAGATAAATGCCGAGAAGTAGTCTGGAATAGAATTCCAAAGTAGATCCAATCCAGATAGCAACAACCACTCAATTGTTATTAGTAATGGTTCAATAGTTCAAACATGCAACCCTCAGAAAGTTGGAGTGACTCAAAAATAGCAATTTTGGAGGTCACCAAGCCTCTTGTATGAAGTTGTGTAAGATTTTTAAAAAGTTGTTGGATAGTAAATAGGTGGAACTGCCAGTTCTTGCTTGAAGAATATGGAAAGAAATGAGAAGACCACAAGCAGTTAATTCTTCAAAACAGAGAAAATTAACAAGAATAGGATCTAGATGAGGTTGGGTTCACTCCTCATTTTCTGAATCCAGTCCATAGACTTTTCCTCTGAAGAAAATATAGCTGCTTGGGAAACAAAAAGTTGAATCACAGTCCTGAATTAATGAGTACAAAAATGGTGGATGCCAGCACTGTGACTATAGTAGACACTATTTGTTCCATATTGCTAGTAGAATGGTAACGAGATCAGAATCACTGCCAGAATAAAAGCTATAGGCAAGATGGGCATGAGAAGAGCCAGCTTGAGTTGTACAACCACTAAGGTAGCTGTAGACATACTGAGAATGGAAATAATGGCAAAAAACAAATACAGCATTGGGACTGGGGACAGTAATACTCCTTTGGGTAATGGTATAGCTTGCAATAATAATAGAGAGGACATCCTAATGTTGAGCAATAGGTATGAGGAGAGCAGGGTAATTGCTTTGCAGACCCCAGGACAGAGATCAGAAGAACCAATATCTAGGCTTTCAAACTGCTTAGTACTAAGTGAGGGAAATCAAGTGATATAATGAACAAACCTCCAGGCATTCAGGAATTGTGATGCACCACCATCTGTCCCAAGAAATTTACCCCTGAGATTCACAGCCTGGTCTCCTGGTGGAAAGATCGCTTGATCTTTCCTTCCGAAACCAAGCCAAGAAGCGCAGAGAAGATATCAGCTTCTGGGGCAGAGAAGATATCCGCTTCTGGAACCGGGCACTTGATACAAAGCTGTGACAAAAGAAAGTGGGTAACCATGGGTCATGCGTAGCTTCATTCCTTTGGCCTGCTGAAAGTGCCTGAAGATGAAGGACAGAAGACTCTCTCTTTCCCTCTGTTTCTCTTTCTTCTTTCTCTGTATCTCACTCACTTTTTTCTTTTCAGGAGCCTTTACATGAGATTTAATGGAATTCTACTTCAATTTGGAATTTTCTGGTCTGGCAATGATAGTTTCAAATCGTATTTGGCAGCAACTGATCAAAACAAAACAAAACAAAATTAGCTCCTTACACTACTGTTGCGGTAGTGCCAGAAAAGGAACCGAGGTGAGATTGGGAATCAAATCCAGGAGTCTGCCTTGTGAAGGTATGTTTCCTGCCAAAAATCTTCCTGAATGTTGGAAAATTCCCAATCAAGACTGTGCCTGGTTGTATCACCCATAGATGTGATATCCGGAAATCTTGAAAAGGAACATTCATTTTGAGAAGAAAAGCCCCTGCCCTAACCATATAGTAGGCCCTATTCACACAATCTCCATAGCAGTTACCTCAAGCTAAGAACAGATATATGCCATATTCTTCTGAAAGTTGCTGTTTATTTCTCTTGTAACATCCTTCATCTAACAGAAACAAAATCAGTCGTGATTAGCAAAAAGATAATGTTTTAAAACCGGCAGGTATGCCACGCAACTACAAGTGAGTGGATGAATGAAAAAATAAAACCACCACAGGGTGCCCCACATGCTTCTGTAAAATGTAGAAGAGAAGGTGATAGGCAGGCAGTAAATTTTACTGAAAGAATCTATGAAAGTGGTAGCCCAATGATTAAAAAAGACAGGCGAAATAGCCCTTTCTACTTCGGCCTCTCCCAGAAATGAAAATATGTCTGGTTGCTTGAGATCGTAGGTCAGCAATCATCACCTCAACAGGCTGCATGCTTCAAGCATTGTTCTTCATGACTCCCAGCTGAAAGAAGCAACCCCTGAACTTTTCTGAAGCAACACTTGGATAGTCTGGCTGTTTTTCAAGTTGTTTCCTTCAGCAGAATGGGGTGGTTTATACCAACTCTTTGGGAACAGGCACCTGTGTGGGAACAGAAATAAAATGTCTGAATTGGACAAGGGGATGGTGAGAGAGAAAGAGAGAAACCTTTTCAATTACAAAAACAGCATCTACCCTACAAAAGATAAAGTAAAGCTGAAAAAATAATAATTTCTTGGCATGCTTTCTGACAAAACATATCAAAGCAACTCTTATTCAGGAAAGTATAGAGTGAAGCCAAGGTATTTTTCTTGAAAGTAACTCAGTTGCAGAGAAATGTTATTCAACCACTCAGGATTTTGCTGCTCAGAAAATAAAACCTTTACTCTGTACAACACAGCAAACCTGTGTTACCATTGCACAACAAAGTTGCTGTGTCATTGATACCTATTGGATGCAAGTGGTACAATAAATCAGGAACACAACATTTTGGGAATAGTCTTATCGCATTTTGTGTATCTGGTAAAAATCCTTAACCTCTTTTCTTTTCCTGTTTCATAGGCAGCTAGATGTTCAAAAACATCCCAAAGCACTTATATTTTTCTTTATTGTATCATATACAGTATTTTATGAATAATATATATGTGAGGTTTTTTAAATAGAACAGTTGTAATCACATTTTGTTGCCAGATTTAGTTCAATACAATTGTTGTTTTAAGGAGTGATTAACTAGGGTTTCCAAGAGAATCTGACAAACAAGAAAAAGTTCACACTGTCTTGAGTCAGTTCTTCCCACTTGCAAGTAGAAATATATTGTTTCTAATTTTTTTTCTTCCCAGATAATGTACTGCTTCCATAGGATGACAGTTCAACACAGAATTCAGGACTTAAACTTGATTATGCCCAAATCTGTACTGAAATATGACAAAGACTTTGTCTCAATTTTGTTCATCAGGATTCAACCCATTTAAGTTATGGTTAGTTGCTATGAGCAGAAACAATGCAATTTTTGTCCTAAACCCATTGCTAATCATTTGTACTTTCTAGGGTTGATCTGCAATTCCTGTTGTGTTTTTTCCACTATTTGAGCCCTCACACCTGCTCTGTGAAAGAGTCATGTGTGTGCTGGTGATCTAGCTTTGTTTCCGCTGGCAAATTTATCTGCATCTATTGGGAAATTAGTGTACTGAAATATTGGAAATGAATACGCCAACTCCTGTCCCCCAGCCATCTTTACTTGCAATAACAGCTTCATTACAGAAATGTTCTGAATTTTGATAAAGGGAGGGGTTGTTTTTAGAAATGTTCCCCTATGTGCTATAACATACAGAACTTTTCTAGAAGTTTAACTGCCCACCAAAGACAGAAAAAGTGAGTAGTGTTGAGCATTATCAAATTAAATTTATTTGAGTCTTTTGGAAGTAAATAGAAATTATATTATATGTCAAATTAAATGGTTTTAGCCTGATTTTTTTTATTTTTATTTTTTGGGTGGTGGGGGAAGAGGTATTCCCAAGAACTACAGTTTTAAGTTACAGCTGAGAATGCTGGGAGATGGGTGGAATCAAATTTAGAACTTTTGAAACTGACTAGGATTTTCCTACCTTTTCTCTTCTGGAAAGAGAATTCACCCTTAGGGCCATAGTGCAAGGAACTAGCAGTAGCTGTAATATAGACCGCTTGGCTTCAGCCTTGGAAAATTATATCTGCACCTCTAAAGAGGGCATAATAAACTACTGGGAGCGACTTCACTCATTAACAGGTGCAACATGCGGCCTTGTCCCAAGGGAGAGCTTCTGAGGCATCTCAGCCTAAAGAGAGAGATCTAATGCAGAGCTGGTTTGATACGAGAGGGGGGATTGTGGCAGAAAATGCCCTTCATGTCATACAATGTCTCAGTAGCTGGTATTTGAGAAGCCTCATCACATCTTGGAAGGATTTTTAAAAATTCTCAGGCATAGTGACTAGAGAAGGAAAGATCAAACCAGTGAAGCAGCAAATCTGTAGCTTTCTTTTATCCGCTTCCTTGTGTATGAGAATGTGCACTCACACAACATAGGGACATGAACAGATACAGTAATGCAAAACTAAGCTGAAACCCACCCAATGCTATTAGAGATCCTGAAGATATTGGAGTTGCACTTTTGGTTACCAGACGAATTAAAATGTAGCAAAAAGATACCTTAGGTTTGACTTTAGAAGTCAGCATTGTTGGGCATGTTCCAAGCATCTCAACTTCTGGAGCGTAGAACCTTGCTAAATCTCCTTGTTTCTATTGACCATTCACCTCTTGACTAAAATGCTGCCAACATCACAGGCCAACATGCAGTGTGGAGGAGGATGAACAGGATGAACCAGAAGCAGGACCGTCTGCAGAATTATACAGCCTCTTGAGACTCCACTGAGGACATGTGTTTTAAGGAGGTGGAGCTTGTCCTGCAGTTCTTTGTTCAATACATTTTTTCCAAGGAGGTTTGAACACAACAAAACAACAATCTGTAAATAGCATTCAGGCAGGTTAAACAATTCTCTATCTCCACACCAAAATAGAGAAAGGTAATTGTTAGCTATGCTTCCCCAGGTGCCTCTGAAGTGCAGCGGATGGCACCTGGGGAGAAAACTATTTTAGCAGTGTAGAGTGCTTGTCTGCATGGATTCTTTCTGATTTGAGTCAAAGAAAGGCTAATTCTACCAGAAAATTTATGATCCATAAATAAGCAGGAGGATATGAAAAGTTCAGTTTTATTTTCTACAGTTATTATTGAAAAATGGCTTGTGTGGCAGAGCAGAAGATAGATCTGGAGCTGATAACAGATATCTAAATCATCTATAGCAGATCAGTAAGGTGTCTGTTTTTGTTTACTTTTAATTATATAGTAATAATAGCAAGAAAATGCTTTTCTTTCCCTGAGTTATACTTGTAAACATTTACCCATGTTTACAAGTAGATGTTAGGGGAAGGAGTAGCCATTTTGCAGGTGCCCTCTGGATGTTTTGAACTACTGTTTCCATAATCTGTTGCCTGAAGCCATGTTGGTGGGAGCCGAAGTCCAAAATATCTGAAGAGCATGAGGCTATCACCCTGTTCAAGCAAAGAAACCTTACAGTAACTAAAACTGGATTGTTGTGTGGAAGAGAAAAGCTTTTAATGCAGGTCATATTTTATCAGCTATTAATTCTGCCTCTTCTAGGAGCAGCAATCATGTAAACACCTAAGATCAGTGTTTCTCAACCTTGGCAACTTTAAGATGGGTGGACTTCAACTCCCAGAATTCCCCAGCC